GGGGCCGCCCTGGGGAATCCCGGCGGGGGCTGGAGCGAGGGCGGGGATCTCCCGGCCGCGGGATCGCCTGGCGACCCGGCCGTTCGGAGCGGCGGGGGGCGGCGCAGGTGGGCCTGAAAACGCGGGGTCGGCGGGGGGAGAGCGCGGGGAGTTTGAACGTCCGCAGCGCTGGAGGCGCATGGCCTGGCGAGACCAGTTCTCTGTCGGCTGCCGGGCTGGTCTCTTGGAGGGGGGAGCGGAATTTTACAACGCTCGGGGCCGTCTTCCCTTCCTCGTGGGCATGGGAGAGCTGAACCAGCGCGTCTGCGCAGAAACGGCCCTGGAAGGCTCGGCTTAGGTGTTAGTCAACTTTCTTGCAGAGATGAGAGTTTTTAGCTCCCGAGACAACCGTTATTTATTTTTAACTGCGAGAAGCTAAGCTCCTTTTCACAAAGGACTCAGACTAAAGCAGTTTCATAAGCTTGAGCCCCTGGGGTTGAGCATGAAGGACTAACAGCTTCTTGTAGATTATGCTAAGAGTGGATCTCATCTGGTAAAACCCTTCCAGAAAGTCCCTTGACTAATGTTATTTTCGGAGTATTTGCTTTCCGATGAGCAATGATGAGAGGATGCTGTTAGCTTTGTCCTGTGAATACTGTGAGAACTTCTGTTTTGTTCAAATGATCTCAAATTCAGTGCCTCAAGACTGGTATTTCTATTTTACGTTCAGTAGTGCACTTCTCGCTTATTCTTGTAACAAAAAGATATGCTGTAGTTTTTTGATTGTTAGCACTGCTCTTCAGTCGCCCCAGTGTTGTTGTATAGCATATGCATTTGATTCCTCCTGTCCAGTTGCCAAGGTAGCAGATGCAAAAACAAATCAGATGAGCTTTGGAGAAGGGCTTAGGGATCCTTTGGAAGAAAAGGTCCTAGAGAAGCACATAGTGTTCTTGAGAACACAATTGAGCACTCTAGCCAAAAGCAATGTGGGGGTTAGGTTTAGGGGTTTGTTTTGTTTTGTTCTATTTAAAAAAAACATTTTCTGCAAATTTAGAGGAGCTTGTGATGTAAACATGTTGAACAGTGTGACAGCCTTCCCGTCAAACTGAACTTTATTTATTTATCTATTTATTTATTAACTCATTTTTCCCTCCTCTTGGAGTAAAATGGTAGTAACCCTTGGTGATTAATGTGTGGGATTGGAATTGTCTGAGCCCTAGTCCAGAGTCATAATTGAGCCTTTTGGAGTATTCCCGCCTGGGGAATGTGGAGGACAGTTTTGACTCAATATTTTTTTTTTATGTAGTAAATACATTCATATTCATTATTCATATTTTGAACTGATGAGCATCCTGGTATTATCACGATATAAATTTTGATGCTCAGAACGTTAAACCAGAATTAAATAACGTGGTCCTGAATATCAGCCTCTAAATCAAATGTCTCTTATTTGGCTTTATGTGACTTTTTTCATGTTTATTGTTTCCTCTGTAAGAGTGCCTTGTCTCTATTCAGTCAGCTACCAGTTTCTGGGTGCAAAATATTTGACAGTACATCTGAGGGGAGACAAGTATGCAGTGGTGCTAGTTCTTAGCATAAAGAGTTTTGAGACTGGCTGATTTCTCAGGAGCAATGATCAACACTCGCAACATTCCAACAGCTGTAAGTGGTTTTTATGAAAAGTCCCCTGAAAGTGGTTTCTCCTGAGTCTGCTTCTTTGCTTAATGCTTCCATTTATGTAGTTCACCCTTCTGGCTTTACAGGAAAATGTTTTCATAGAATGGAGTTAGAGCACCTGAAGAGGCTACGTCAGGCCAACCAGGAACTTCTACAAAGGCTCAGAATGAAGCAGGAAGAGATCAGAAAAAGACTTCCCAGCAAGCCACTCTTTCCAGCATCTCTTCGTAATAGAATATCTACTGAAAGATCTGTCCCTGTGGCCAAGAGAGGGGTATGTGTTGTGTCTGTGCTAGAAGTGCTGGCAAGCAAATGGGCCTTGTGTGATAGGCAGCAGCTCTGCCTATGAAGTAGTGTGGTAAAGGAGACATATGGACATGGAGGAGCTGGTAGAAATTGGAATGTGGAATATGGAGTCTGTTAGAAAAGTAGCTAGACTTTGTTTATTGTTTATCCTGTGGTCTCCAATATGTTTTCCTTGCAAAGGGTTCAGACATCAGTTCCTGCCTAAGAAATGTAGGTTTCTTAATCTAAAATAGGAATGAACATTGTGGAACATAATCCTGTTATGTCTTCTAAGCACAAAGGCTGAAAGTTTAGCAATTCCTCAAATTGGGAAAAGCTGCATTTGGCTGGAAGTGGATCCCTTTCTTATCTTCTCCAACCACTTAATAATGTCTCATGAATAACACAAGGATATTGCTTTTTTCCCCAGAGGAATTTAAAGGGGTGAGCAGACTAGAATGAGAGGTTGATTTTTCTCTTACTGAGTGAAATGTCCTAATGAAAGGTAATTGTAAGCTGAATGATGCCATGTGGTATGAGAGTCTCTGTCCTTACAGAAGGAAAGTCAGGTCAATGCTGTGACGTGTACAGCTGACCCTGCAATGTTGGTGTCTGTGGAACCCGGAGCTCACGCAGCCAGAGCAGCCTTCTGTTCATCTCTTAAACACAGCAGCAATGACAGAGGAGTACAGCAACAACAAGCGAAGATGCACAAAGCAGTAGGTTTGGGTTCCAGCTTTCCTGGGAAAGAGGAGAATGTTATGCCAGTGTCTGCAATCATTATGTGTGGCAAAGAAACCTCCAGAGTGGATAGGGATGGCTATGCTCGAGGAAGTCCAGAGAAAGAATCCTTCCTGCTGGGACATGGAGAAAACAGGAAACAGTCCACTCTGCTACATGGTTTCCATGAGAAGAAACAGCTTAAGGGTCATCTGGACCCATCACTGAGCAGAATACAAAGTGAAGAGACCAGTAAGCAGCATGTGGTCATTAGAGAGCCTATAATCCCTAAATCAATCTTGCTGACATCTCCGTCCAAAGAGTTGAAGGTAAATGGTGAAACCAATGCTTTGCTTATTTTTGTAAGTCAATAGAAGGATGGGGAGAAAGGGTCAGGAGAACATTACTTGCCTTGTTCCTACTGTGTGAATTGCAAGCTGGGGTCAGAACTGTTCCTAGCCTTAGCAGCCAGGGGCTGTTGGCAGTTTGTTCAGGCCCTGCTTTCTTTAGCCCTTGAACCAAAGAAAACTTGAGCACTTCACTGGATGACTCCATGTCATTTGCATACGTGAGTCATGCTCAGGGAGAAGAGCCTGGTGCAGTGCAGCTGCTACACAGATTGTTTCTTTAAGCATGAAGGGCAGGATATTGCCATGATCATCCTCCAAGGTAGCGCAGGTGGCCTGATGTTTGGGGATGTGTGATGCAGGGAAGTCAGCGTTTTGTTTAAAGCCCTGAAAAATACTGCCTTAGCCCAGGCAAGTCCCCTGTGTCCTCTCTCTGTTTTATGAATTGAGAAGACAACAGGCTGGTGAGCAAATTACTGGTAGAGGCATAGATAGAATCCAGCCTCAAACTAAGCCGCAGCTATCCCATCTGAACAGCCGCCAGTTGTCTCCTAAGCTGTACATTTGAATGTTCTGCTAGATGTATAGGAAGTCTTTATGAATTGTTTTCTTCCCAGAAGGAAGCTGGTCATGTGACTTTTCAGTCTGACCCTGAAGAATATACCATACCTGTGAGCAGCTGGTCTGTGCGTCCTTTCCTGGGCTATGACTGGATTGCAGGTGAATCCTAAATCTGAAGCAAAGCTCTCAGCATGATGTGGTAATATAAAGAGTTAAAACACAGTTTATGACCCCTTTAAGTTGAGGTGTGATGCAACTGCAGACCTAGAGCCCACATAGCAGGTCTCAGCAGAGGAGCTGCAGTTTTGTCAGGAGCCATTCCCTGTCCAAGCCAGAGGTGACCTGTGCTTCCCTGGAACAGTGAAGTGGCAGTGGTATGGGAATCCAGGCAGCAAACGGCAAAGCTGAGGGGATACCAAGTAGCCGAAATGAACAAATGCAGTAAGGGACACAAACCACAGAGTAAATCTCTGGCCTGACATGATGGCATGTTCTTCTCATTATCTATTTGGGTGCTTCAGACCTTTGGTTGTTTTGACTGTTTTGTATGAGGCTTGCTTTGATGCTTTCCCAAATTTGGTAACTCCTTGAACTTTTCACTTTTCTTGGCGTTCTCAGGGCTCCTAGATACAAACTCTTCAGTAGTAGAAGAATCTGACCAATACTTTGCTGAGCTGCACGAGTTCCGACAGGCCAACAGAGAAGCATGTGTTCATGAGCAGCACCTGGAGTAAGTGGGTATGGGGGAAGGGCTGAAGCAGCAATGTATGCCTTTAGAGTAGTGAGAAATATAGTCTGATTGGAGTGGGAAATTGTAAGAGTGGCTTTGTAGGCCTTTATTTATCTCCCAATCAGAAATGTATGCTTGGAAAAGGTGGGGCTGTTCACAGGGCCTGACCCTGTCACTAACTGATTCGTTTGCATATTTCTTTAGGCCTGAGACTTTGGATGCCATAGTTCCTGAACAAGAACCAGATTTGATAACCAGTTTGCATAAGTGTAAGATCAGATTTCTTCCTAATCCAGTTTCAGATAACTGAGCAGTCTTTGCCTGTCATTCTGAGAGCGCCCCGCATCATGCAAGATAAGGAAGAATGTGTTACTTTTAGCTGCAGCTTCTGAACCAGATTCAAATTCCTACTCCAAAGATACTTGAGTCTTCTAGGGATCCTCTCTCAATCAGTGTCATATGATTTTGTCAGGGTTTCTTGTAGTTGGCTAATGTTCTCTTTTTAAGTTGAGGAGGTTCAAGTTTTGGTTTTGCTTTTTAGGAACTTATTTGGGGACTGGAAATGTAAAAGTGAAATATTTCAGGAAAAACAGCTCTTTCTATAGAATGCATGTGTGGCCCTGTGGTAGAACACAGCTTTGTTGACTGGGTTGAGGAACCTTCTGACAGACTAGAAATACCGTGATGGTTTGTTACTCTGTGGCAGGTGTTTACTGTTATCGATTAAACCAGCGCCTCTTCACTGTCCCTGTGGATTCAGAATCTGCCTGCCCCGTGTGTAAGATCCCACGTACTCAGCAGCCTGCAGAGACACTGGAAGAGCCAGCCTATGTCAGGTAGATAAGAATTATTGCTTTGTAATATGCAGAACTCAAGGAAACAGTAGGGAAGAAAAAGCTGATCATGTAAGGGAGAAAACAGCATCAGAATAGCTCTGTAGAAGGTTGCTGTTCTCAGGACAGAGATATCTTGCTTAAAAATTCCCTACAGATCTTTTCCTTAAGCAGAAACATTTTGAAGTCAGTGAGAAATGCATGTTTATCTGAATTTGGTCCAGAATCTGAATGTACATGTTAAGTGTCTAATACCCTAATCCAAAACTGGTTTGCTTGGTTTGCTTTGGGATTAGACCCTGGATTCTGAGTGGGGAAGGCATGCAAATTTCCTCTGTGTTGTCGAAGGTGTAGTCAGTCCTTTGTGTGGTTGCAGGGTCAGCATTCCCAGGTCTACCCTTATGCCTGCCTACAAATACAAAGCCCATCGCAGGAAGAGCTTTGAACCAGCAGACAATCTAGCATTACCTTCGGTAAGTTGCTGTCTTCTTGCTGATACTGACGGCACAGCCCAGGCTGGGCGTTGTTTTACAGCACAAGAAGGAAAGAGAATCTGGGACTCATCCCCCGGCAGGGTTTCCACTAAAATTTCTGATCTGCGTCTCTGAGATAACAAGAAAAAACATTGGTGTGTACTTCTGTGTTCATACTTTTATATAACTGGCATAAAGTATATGGACATATCTCCAAATGCTTTCCACTGAGAAAAAGAAAGCGCCATATGGAGCTGTATACTTCTGGGGCATGATTCAGCTGACTTATTTCAGGCATTGACCTTTCAACACAATGAACCATACCTAGGAGTGCCTGTTTCTTTCCACAAAAGTTAGGGAGTCTAAAATATAAGCTTTTGTGAAGTATTCACAGAGTATATGGGCCAGGCAAAATCAAGAGTGGCAAGGGTGGATTTAAAACTGTTTTTGTAGAGTTGGTCCTGTATTCCAGCCACTAGGCAATGCTGCAGGCAGTATTACTAATCAGATCTAGCTGTGGCGTAGAGATTTCCAGGGAAGAGGTAGTAAGAGGTCTGGTTTTGAGGTTTAGGGAACTGGATGAGTCAGTTGAGACAGGTTCAGAGAGGTCGGGTGCTTGAGTTCACAAAGCAGGAGTTCAGTTTAGAAATAATTAGCCACTGAAAGATGGAAGAGGAGACAGCTAAGCAGTTTTGTTTCATTAGAGATTTCTTCTCTTGCCTGTTAGTCCTATAAAACTCCTCAAAACTTAATTAATTACTGGCTAAAACCTCCCTGTGCAGAAGTTACTATTTACAGCTAACAGGTGACAATAGGTTAAAAAGGTAAAGCACTCCGGTGCAGCATTCCCATCTCTTTTCACAGCATTGCCTGGCTGGCTGGGAAAATATCATCCCTTCCAGCAATCCCAGGCTCAGCAGTTTGGATCTGCAAGGTTCACTGGAAGAGAAGCCTTCTCACCATCCTCGCCTGGTAAGAATAGCCTGTTAAGAGTCCCTGGAGGTGCTGTGAATTGCACAGCTGGGAATTGCAATCCTGTCTCTAGAGGGCATAATAATCATCGATGGCTCAGCAAATGAGAATGCCTGGAAGATTATCTCCTTATCTCCACAGGGAAACACTTTCCTTCCGCTGCTGTGTAACCTAGTGTGCACAGACACAAAAAAGCAAATGGAGCTGGATAACAGGGAAAAGCCTGTTCAGCTCGCCAATCTTCATCAAAATGGGAAAAGTCACTTTGGCATTCTTTGATTAATATCCTCTTTATTTGGATTCCAGAACTCGGTGTCCAGAGTGTCAGGAGGAACCAGAACTGACCAGCCTCTGAACCTGACCCACTTGACACACTTCAGATTTAGCAGTGGTTCTCAGCAGAGGGAGCAAAACAAACCAGGACACTACAGAGCAGCTCCAAATTTAAATCCGACTGCCTCAACTCTCTGAACCACTGACATGATTGCCCTGGGGAAGGGAAGGGCATAGGGTGTGGAAACAACTCTATTTGGATAAAAATAAATCTTTGAACAGATTTTTCCTAGTTTTCATAGTCGTGCACATACGTGAGCAACCAATGCACATATATGAGAGTTTGTACATTCAACTATGTTTTTTCACTTTTCTTTTTTGCCTTTTGCAGCTACTTCTAAGCAGATGCATGAGCTTTCCCTCCTAGGGCTGGATAAAGCGATGTGTACAGGATGACTAGTACTGTTACCACTAGGACAGCCGTAGCAACAGAGTTCATCTGCCGCCTCAACTAAATAAACCAGAAGTGTAATGTAAACTCTGAATGCCAGGGTGAGGAATTGGCCTGTGAATGGTCTGTTTCAGAGGAATGCATACAAATACGTTAATTTCCAAATGTTTGAAACATGACACATAATTTGCTAGTGCCTTAAACTTGAGTTACTCAATAATTTCGTTAAAACAAAAAAAATCCAGTTTATTTTCAGTGCAATGTCTGTAGCTACAGGGTGCATGACATCAGAATGATTATGAATGTGAAAAAGCATGTTAAAGTGAAATGAGATTTTATTCATCAAAAAGCTAGATAATGCCTTAAAATGTTTGCAAATTATGCTTGCCTCTGCTTTTCCAAGTTTTTTGGAGACAAACCAAAAAACGTTCTGGAGTTTTTGAGTTGTACCAAAACAAAATAAGTTATATAGTGTGATTTGTTTGAACTTTATAGACTGATCTTGCTTTCCTTGTCTAAAACCAGTGAAACTGATGTTTTATGTTGCCTTGAATGAGCCTGAAACAGAAATTCCTGCCTCAAGTTTATTTCTGGGAGCTAATTTGACAGAAGGAATTGGATTTGCACCAATGATATTTTCAGCTTCTTGGCATTCACTGTTACTTATGTATCAAATACATTATTATTAAATCAAAAGTACAAATAGACTTTTTTTTAAGCAAGGAAAGAAATATTGCTAGTTTATGAAATCTTAATGTAAGGCTTAGAATGGAAAATGAAAAGCATGACTGATCGGTTTAGATTTGGGTTGTGCATATGTAGGGTAAAGTGAATGGAATTGGTTATGTTATTTCCATTACTGAAAATACTAATTTTAAAATAAATTAATCCAGTGAATATAAAACACTAGCCACCAAATGTTACACTAAATAGGGCAAATTCAATATTTTTACTACCTTGCCTTCAAACCCAAAACATTAGAAGTCATAAACCTCTTCTTAATTTATCCTGAAATAAATTACAGCAAGCCTGCTCCACTTCATAAATAGAGAAAATGAAGCACTGTAAGATTAAGTAACTTACGTGAGATCTATCTGGTGAATGCAGGATGGAACCAATGTTGAACTCAAAATGTTTCTTGATAGCTAGGAATACATTCTACCTTTTACACTTGTGAAAGTATTGAAAGTGTGATTATGACTCTCTTCCTCTACTAGAAACAGATGAAAGAAGTCAGTGACACTGCACCTCTTTACCCAAGTTAACCTCAATTTGTCTCTTTGTTGGTTCTGGCCTGCTTGATCCTGCCCTCATTTGCAAGCTGAAACAGGCTGAAAATGCTACCTGTTTATGGAACCTCTTTTTTTTTTCTTTCTTTTTTTTTTTTAATTCTTCATCTCCTTCCATGTCTCTCCACTGCAAGGCTAAGGCTTACAATGCCAGATCTTGTCCAGAGTCGCAAATCTTTAGAAAAGGTTCTTTTTTCCATGTGTGCACTTCAGGCTAGCTTTAACTCTCCCTTCATACGCTTCCTCTTGTGTTCTCACATCCCCTTTCAGGTGGAGCTTCTCGCAAATGCTCTATCTCAAAATACTCTTTTTTTCTTTTTTTTTTTTTTTTTAATCTGAGCTATCCCATATGCCCTTTTTGCTAATAAAAAAAAATACATTCCACTTTCACATTAGCAGAACTGATCTCAATTTCCATGTTAAAATATTGGCACCTTTGTTCACTTTCTTGTCTGAACTGGTATAGGGAATTGTTTCCTTTTTGTTTATTACTCTTTCAGAGCAGAAAATCTGATTTGCTTATTAACTCAGAGAGTGACCTGATGGTTCTATGTTGTTTTTATAGTTATGTCTCCATATCAGTGCAGAATAAGCTTATATCATGATCGTTTTTGCATAGGGAATCTAACCAGTGTGCCCAGGTTTTCCAGCAGAGCTTAAGCAGACTGTATGTTTTGAAATTTCTGCTCTGAGTAGTGCCCAGTTTAGTTTGTAGTTGATAATATACAGAAACAGATTTTTCTGCTGGCCAACTTGGTCTTTTTTTTCCATTCATAATTATCAAAGATTTTGCAGTTGGAGCTTGGTTAATATTGTTGATACATGATCCCGAATTTGGTCTAGAACCTTTTGTTTATAGCTGCACTGTTTCTCTGGAAGAGAGACAGGAGGTCTGAAAGTGAGTAAACCGATATTTTTTTAATTAGGACACCTGGCCATGTACGTGCATGGAGGCCTCATCTTCTAATAAGAAGGTGATTCATGTATAGTCAAACGTCTGATTATAATCTCACTACAAGGTAGAGTTACAAAAAAGATGCTTGCTCTAATTTCACGTGACCCGCAGCTGAGGTAAACGTGTGTACCCCTTTCATCTGTTTTCTCGCAATCACTCTGCTGAGGTCTCTAAGGCTAGGTGCCGAGCAATGTGGCTGCTGATTGCATTCAAGATGTCAGTTACAAATCCTGGTTAGTTTAATTTGAACAGCAGTAATGCAAGGAATAACAACAGAAAAGTCATTTCTAGAAAGTGAGGTCATGCTTTTTTATGAGAACCCCCTTTTTTTTTTTTTTTGGTACTGAATATGTGACGAAATCTCAATGCAGAAGATGGGCAAAGAAGTTTTATTGAGCCTGGAGTAATGATAAGTAACAGCCCTGCACAAGATGCATTTGAACCCTGTGCTGCAAGGAGTAGTTTGGGTGTGGATACATCAATGAGTTACAGTGTAATAACAAGGTTTTGCACAGTGGCTTTATGTTGCAGTAAGTGTTACGGAATCCAAGATAATACACCCATTCGTGTAGGAGGTGTCTGAGGTGTCACCTGGGAGTACACTGTAAGGAATACATCTATTTACTGGTTGAAAAATTGCATTTCGTCCAGTGTTAAAGCAGCTTCTGCACTTGGACTGTGGACTCTGCAGCAACCTGAGCAGTGATGGAGCCAGTGCTGGCATCTGCAATTCCAGGGGAGAACAGAGGGTGGGGGTAGTGTGCGTGGGATGTCGGGATTGTGGGTTAGGAAAACGAGAACGTTTTCAGGCCGGGGATTTCTGGAGAGGAGGTGAAGCAGAGGTGAGCCTGTGGTAATATATAGTAGGAAGCCAGAGTGGTGAGAGGTGTGTTAGGAGGAGGCAGAGGACATGAAATACTGGGACTGTAGAGAGGAGGGCTGGATGGGGAAAGTAGGAATGTAAGATGTGGGGTGCGGAGAGACCTTTGCTGATCTGGGGTTCAAAATGCTGTGGTAAGGATGAGTTCCGAATTGTGTACCAATATCTCCAAGGCTATGTCCTTATCCACAAAATAATACAAATACTGAACTTTGTTGTGTAGGCATGGGGCTCTAGGATAGCTTGTCTCCTGTTCCTGGAGGTAGTCATGGTGCTGCATGGCCTGTGGCCAAGATTTAGGGAGATATGTCTCCCTAATGCCTGAGATGCACAGTGATCCGTAAGGAGAAAGAATTCTCTACAACAGTTGGTGAGGAAGGATTTGCTTATGCCTGGCTTTGTTCATATTGCCATTATATTAGAGACTAGATGTTTGTTGTAATGGTTTTAAGATGAAATTTTTTTGCCTTAATCAGCTAGGGGTGGGAATAGAGAACTCAAATGTGCCTATAGAAGGATGGCAGTGTATTCCCAACTGTATTCTGCAATGGGGCCTAAAATTCCTCTGGGAGAAGACAGGGATCCTTCATTCCAATGTGTGAGTGATATGTGTGATTATGGTTAAAGAATTTACTGGGAGAATAATGTATGTATTTGGCAAAATTAGAAGCTACTAAGTTGCTTACACTTTGATGCCACTAGAAGTTGGAATAGCCAAAGTGAAGTCCAGCATTCTTGACTTGACCTGGATTTTTTTTTTTTTTTCTTTTTTCCATTCATAGTACTTGGGAACATGCTGGCTTAGTCTGTGCAGCTGTGTCTTCTGTTAATGGCTGGCTCCAGTGTGTGTGCCCATTTGTGTTGGTTCTCTTTTGGTATGAGTGATAACTGCCTGATGCTTTGGTAGTAAAGCCTGTGGTTTAGTTCCCCTTTCTCACTATATTGCATGTATGTAACACTGATTCATAAGATGGGAAATCCAGCTTTGCTTAATTAAACAAATTGGAGACAGTAAATAATGTATTTGTGATTGGTTTTAACAGAGGAGTGTAGTTCAGCCTTTAAAACATAGCTCCGTCTGCTCCTTAGTAACAGTGTTAGACTGCCATTAGTGTTTTGTCTATTTGCTTCCTCTAGGACTATCGTCAGATAGTTTTGGTGATGTTGCAAGAATTAATATCAAGAGTCTTGAATTAATGTAGTCCTGATTTATTCATTCTGTTTAATTATCAGCATGTCAAAGAATGACTGTCTCCAGAACCCTCAGGTGGAACATCTGCATGTGATTGCTTTTTGAATGATTTGCAAACTTTGATTTTGGGGGCTTTCATCTCTTTGGAACTTGAGTTTTCAAAGCCCAGAAGAATTTGTTTTCAGTGTGTCAAATCTGAAAATGCAAGAGAAATTCTGCCCCTTCTCTTCAGAGTTGAAAACCTCAATTTCACCCGTTTCCTGGGTAATGGCAGGCCAAATGTAAGGACTCGGTTTTCTGCTTCAGCTGGTGTATTCCAGTGGTTTCTGCAGAGCAAAAACATGCTGCTAGGAAGAGGAAAATAAGACCCTAAATTGTCAGAGTTGAGATGCTCAGCTATAGTCATAGAAAAAAGTTGAAAAAGCTGTGTCCTGAAAATCTTCCCATTTGTTTCTTTCACAAAAATTATTTAATATTTCCCATCTTTCTTATGTTTGTGTCAGCAAAGGAAAGCTCATCTTGCTTCTGTTAATAAATAAGCTTTAT